ATGTGTTCTCAAGAAAGAACTGAAAGGCAATAGAATACCAATCTGGAATATTCTACCTCCTTAACAAAATGATCTATTGAGACCTCGAGGTAAACATGAGCCAGAAACATGGCTCAGCCAACCTAGTGATGAGCTTGCAAGTTCAGAAGAGCTTAGAAGGGTGATAGCTTCCAGAGAATTGGAACTATATGTCCCTAGACATAAAGTTACCTCACAAAATAATTCAAATGTATTTGAATTTCCCATATTTGGATTGTTATGTGTGATGAAATTAAGGGAAAAAAAAAAAAGGAAGGCATTGCTGAAGGGGGAAGAGCCAGGGATGGATTGTATAAACAGCGGCACTAGGTGACCAGCTCACTGGGCTGTTAAGCATAAGGAATATCCACATGGGGACCAAAGGGGAAGATGGGGTGGAGGGGCCCTCTTGTCTGCAGGCCCCAGGCCCTGCTGCAGCTCACTCAGATGCTCTGCAGGCTGCGGGCTGCTTCTTGCCGGCTCCCACACAGAGATGTGAGTCCACGCCTGGACGACATTACACACCACGTTGTCACAATCCAGGGAGCTCAGGGTCTTCTTGCTCTCTATTCTAAAGGCAAGGAGACATTTGAAGAGGATCTCAGGTATTTTGAAATGTGCAAGACATTCTCATTGATTTTGCACACTGCTGTGCAACAGATGTCAGGGATTCTTCCTATTGGGTGTCTGAAACTCTGTGCCCTGTGACCAACTACCCATGCCCTTCCTCTGCCACCCCCAGCCTCTCATCACCATCAAACTACTGTGCTTCTATGAGGTCAGCTTTACAGATTTAACAGGGAAGTGACATTATGCTGCGTTTGCCTTTCTGAGATGATGGATATGTTAATTAGCTTTATGTCACAACCCACATAGTGCACATATATAAACTTAACATTGTACGCCATACATGTCTACAACTATGACTTGTCTATTAAAAATAATATCAGCAAAACCATAATAAATAAAATAAGATGCAGGGAGCGGGGCTGGACCTCCCCACATACTTGCACTTGGTGTTTCAGCTGTCCATATTCACTGGCACCATCTTGTTCAGCCATCTGCTGCAGATCTTTCAGGCGGGCAGGACATAGCTCATTCTTAACATAAACTCGGCAAATCTCCTAGTGAGCCCCTCTTGGCCTTGGGCGTCGTCAGAGGGTGAGATTGAGGTCTTCCCATCTGGCTGCCCAGCCTGAAGACAGTTGGATTCTCTGGATGTTTCCTGGGGAGAGGTGTCTCCTCCTTGCTCTTGCCCATGGCTGCTGGTGCTGTGGGTGGACAGGGAGGCCATGGGGCCACGCTTGGGGATGTGCTGGCATTCAGACTCATCTGCAGGCTGTGTAGAGAGCTGGCAGGTACTTTGTTTTCATGGTCTCCTCTGGTGTCTCCTGCCCCTTGATCCAAATGTCCCTCATAATTTCAGGGAGGGTGGGTCTCTCTCAGAGGTAAATGGTCAGGAACTTTTTCAAAAATATTTCAGTTCTTCAGAAAAGAAAGCAGGTGTCTCATAGCTTCCATGGGTGATGTTTTTTTTCAGTTTCTCCCAGTTGTCACCATGAAATGGAAGACACCCGGCTTTCATGGTGTAGAGAACAACACCTAGGCTCCACATATCCACCTTCGGTCTTGTATATTCTTCACCGAGGAACATTCCTGGGGCACAAAAAGGAGGAGTTCCACAGAAGGTGTCCAGCTTCTTTCCCCCATTAAATGTCATGGCAAAGCTGAAGTCCGCTAGCTTGGGGTTCTCATTCTCATCGAGTAGAATGTTGGGGGGGCCTCAGGTTCTCGTGGACAATGTGGTTCTCGTGGCAGTACTGCATGGCAGCCAGGGTCTGTTGGAATTTGTTCTAGGACTTCTCCTCGTTCGGGCAGTGGTGTCTCATTTTGAGCCAGAAAAGGTGACTGGCTGTGACTAAGCAGAGGGTGTCTTCATTCTTGATGACATCCAGAAGTTTAAGGATGCTCAGATCATTCCAAGCCTTCATGGCTTTGACCTCCATATCCACACTTTCCAAGCTGGGGAGGTTCTGCTTGGGACATAATTTTGATGGTCACCTGGGCCCCAGTAGCAAGGTGCTGGGCCAGCATCACCTTGCTGAAGCTGCCAAAGCCAATTGTCTTGAGGAGCTTATAACTGGTAAAGTCCTCAATGGATGAACTGGGGGCCAAGGCCTGCTCCATGGTCACTTCTAATGACGCTAACTGTATACTAACAATACTAACTAATGAACACTGTCACTTATACTAACTAGGCTAAGAGTACTAACTATACTAAGTACTCTGACAATACTAACTATATGAACTACACTAAAAATACTAATAAATAATGGTAAACAGGATAACAATACCCCTGTTATCTAACAATAACTATACTAACACTACAAAACAACAATGCTAAGTACACGATCCTAACACTAATAAAAAACAATTTCAACTATGTTATGCTGAGACTACTAACAAACTATATAGTATGGTAAGAAAACCAACAGACAAAACTAACTATAATATGGTAACAAAACTAACAAACTAGTAACTATCCTGCACCAACACGACTAACAGACAATGTTAACTATACTAACTACACTAACAATGCTAACTAACAAGGAAAAAGCAGTCTCCCTGTGGTCAAACTCCACAGGTCACCAAAAAGCAGCTTCCCGGACAATAAGGACTGAAATCCTAGGCCCAGCCAGGGGCTTATCCAGGTGTTGGTAAATTGGTCACAATGGCTCTTTATGATGTCAGAGCAGGAAATGGGCCAATCAGGGCTGGGTAAAACCCACAGTGGCTTTTCCTTTTTTGGTCGCAAGAACTTTTTCCTCTTTAAAGAAAACAAGTGTTTTTTGTTTACATGGTTATAGAGATTCATGTTTAGTTTATTAGAAATTTAAACCTATACAATGCTTCAGGGACCTTTCCATTTATAGTTTGAAAATCCGTAATAACTTTAGGCTTTTAAAGATCTCATAATGTCTATACTTGAAGTACTCAATTTCTTTTTCTTTAAACTCTGACTGGTGTCAGGGTGATGCTACGACATAACTGACATGATCCTCCTTTAAGTGACATTCCCAGGGCAGGAAGAAGTGTGTCAGGGCCAGCTCTGCACCTCAGGCCCCAGCCAGCCTGGCCCGGAATGAGAGAGTAAGTGGCAGACACCACAACCCAGCGCTGGGCTGCGGGTCGAGCCAGGGCTGACTCGGGATGGCTGTGACCCAGGTGCAGCGCGAGGGTCCATGAAGGCACGGAATGGAACTGTTCTGGTTCCTGTCCTGGCCTCCTTGCCCTGGAGATGGGTGAGCACTGTGAGGCCCCATCTCTGCTCTCCAATGAGTTCACATTCTGGCAGAGACCCAGGCTGAGTCCCTCCTCCTACCTTGTAGCTCCCAGGGCTGCAGCCGATGCAGAGCCTTAGATGACTGGGCCTCTATCACCTCCAAACTCACCCAGGACTCCTGCTGCCGAAGCGCTGCCTCCTTGCATGGTTACCGCTGTCCGTCCCCAGAGACTGACTAGAGGCTGCACCCTACTCCCCTAACCAGCCCTGCTCTCGTGTCCTGGGGTGTCCTTTCTCCTCCTGACTGCGGCTGCAGTCTTCTCCCAGCTCCTCATCCCCCTCCAAGCAGAGGCCCAAAGCCTCCCCCCACTCTCCCCTCCCCTGCACAAGCCTGGTGCTCCCCCATCTCCCAGGCCTCTAAAGGCCATCTCTGGGCTGGAGGCTCCGACCCGCGTCCCACCCTACCCCCAGCCAACCTCATGGAGCTCCAGACACTCCTGCCCAGCGGGGCCCACCAGCCTCACCTGGAGAAGCTATGACACCTCTAAGTCCCCGGGCCAGACTGCTCGCCTCCTTCCCCCATGCCAGCCCCCACCTCTGTGCTCCACATCACAGTGAAAGACCATCCTCAACCTGGTCATCCCAGCCCTCCCTCTCCTCAAGCCCCCCTTCCAGATGGTCACTGGCCCCACCCAATGGTCCTAGCCAGGTCCTGTCCTCAGTCTGCTGCCTGGTTCCCCTGCAAAGACCCTCTTTCTCTTGAATTCCACCTGGGCCTGGGCAACCTTTCCAAACACGCACCTCATCTATGTCACTGTTTCCTTAAAAATAAAATCCAGGAAGTCTAGCATAAGCTTCAACCTCTTTACTGTGAAATGGCAACAGAAGCAGATAATATGTATTGAGTATTTGCTATGTTTGAGGTACCATTCTAAGTGCTTCACAAATGTTAACTCACTTCATCTTCACAACACTACTAGCTCCATTTTATAGCCCAGGAAATGGAGGCACAGAGAGGTTCATTAACTGACCCAAGGTCACACAGACTCCTGGTGGCTGAGCTGGGATTTGACCCAGATATTCTGGCTCTAGAGCCCACACTCTTAACTTGTACCCAACTGCCCAGAATCCAGTGCAATTCACGATCTAATCACAAAGCCAGACCCCACTTCCCCGACACCTTCCAGACCCCACCCCCACGCCGGGCTCTGCTCCTGAACCTCACACACGTCTGCCCATGCCATCCCTTCCCCCACCACTCTCAGAGGCTCCTTCTGGGACGGCACAGCTTTATCGTCACAGTCACAGGTCGCATCTGTGTGCTCTTCAGAACTGACCGTGTTCCTGGTGCTGGGCTGGCCCAGAGCAGGGGCTCCCCATCGCGGCGATGATGTCTGTGGCCAGGCACGGCGGGCGGAGCACTGGCACACTGGTCAGGAAGCTGTGGTGCCAATCCCAGCTCTGTGACCCTAGGCCAACCGTGGATCTCACTGGGCCTCAGTTTCCCCATCCATAAAACAAGGGACTTGGAACCAATGATCTCCAAAGATCTTCACCTCTGTTGGCCAGAAAATGCTGTGGATGTTTATCTATCTAAGATCTTTGCCCCTGAGTTATTGTTAAATAAATTCCTACCTACAATTCCTCAGCTGGAAGGTGAATGTATTCACGTTTACACCCGAGAGTGAGAAAGCATTGCTTCAGTGGTTTTGTTTTTATTGCTCAAAAAATTGGGAAAACACACCCGACCTTTACGGCAACAATGACGATTCAAAAGGCTTTTTGCAGTCACTTCAGGGACGTCCCCATCACAGACCCTGACACCAGGAAGCCCTTCTCCTCAATGTGCAAGACAGGAACCTTCTCGGGCCCATCCAGGACACATAGCTCAGACAGGCCGCACCATCCCTACAGAAAATAAAACAAATCCATTTTTTACAGATGGTGGTGGCAAGGGCATGGGTACGAGGCCAGAAGACCCAGTGGTCTGTGTTTCCCCGTAGCTCCTGGGAGGAAAAGAAAGCCCAATACTGGTCCTTCCATGCCTCAGCACCCTGTGCCATCAGCTCTCTGCAGCCTGGTCAGTCACCAAGGGAAAAGCAATTCAGAAAACCAGCGTTCCAGGACAGGGAGGCTCCCCATGCTTCCGAACAAGCACCTGCTTCGGGTCGCCCAGCAGGGAAGGAGGGACCATGAGGGCTGAGTTTCTTTCCTCAGCCCTCAGTCTGTGCACGCACTGGGGGCTGTTCCACCAAGTCTAACGAGGCCTCTCCCTCCATTCCCAGTTAGAGAGAGCCTCACCTGCCAGGCCCTATGCTCGGGGCAGCATGCAGAACTACAGGGCCCAGGGCCTCGCCCAGGTGTCGCTCTGCCAGGACTGAACCTGGGGAAGGCACCACCTATACTCTCATTTCTCTCATGGAGATACCCTGCTCCTCGCTGCCACTGTCCCAGAACTACCCCTCCCACCACCTCAGCCCTATCTGGCTCCCTCTGTCCCATCACACTCTTGCAGGCTCCACACGCAGGGCTGTCAGTGACCTCAGTGCAGCAGATGTTAAACCTCATAACCTCACATCTGAGTCCGTCACTCCCAGCTGCTCCAAGGCCCTCCCAGAGCCCATGGTGATAGCACTTTCCTGGGAACTCCAAACCCCTTCTCTGTGGGGCTCCTGAAGAGCTCACCCCCAAATCCCCTTCTCTGAGCTCCTAGGGCTGCTGGCTGCTGTGGCTTCCCAGCCTGGCTCAGGGTCAGTCACATGCTGGGCAGGTAAAGCTGTGCCTAGAGCTCCCCACGGGTTTCTGGTAAGTCCAGGAGGACTTCCCCAAGGGCCTGATCCCTGGGCCAGTGTCTAATGTCATCTGAACCGACACGTGATTTTCCGATAGGAAACTGGCCTGACTTCCCTCCCTCCTAACACCTCTGTGTTCTGCCTGTCTACTGCAGCCTGGATTTCTTCACCTGCAAGATGGGTCTAAAACAATCCTGGCCAGGTGCCGTGACTAACACCTATAGTCCCAGTGCTTTGGGAGGCTGAGGCAGAAGGATCACGTGAGGCCAGGAGTTCAAAACCAGTCTGGACAATATAACAGGACGCCCCCCACCCCAACAAAAAAAATTTAAAAATTAGGTGGGCATGGTGGTGCACGCCTGTAGTCTCAGCTGTTCAGGAGGCTGAAGCAGGAGGGTCATGGAGACCAGAAGTTTGAGGTTGTAGTGAGCTATGATGATGCCACTGCTCTCTAGCCCAAGCAACAGAGTGAGACCATGTCTCAAAAAATAAAACAATATAAAAACACTACCAATAATCTTGCCAGGCCTGTTTCAAAGAGGTGTGAGATTCATCTGACATGATGCGAGGGGCAGTGCTTCCTAAACAGTGAATGAGAGACAGCCTTTGGGAGCAAGGGAGGGTTTTGGTGTCAGGTGAGGCACAGTGGGCTCAGATATCACCCTCTGCCAGCTTATGACTTTGAGAGCAAAGCAACCTCACCCACTTTGACCAGATGCACTTACTGCACAAGAAACACATTCACAATAGGTTTCCTCCTATTCTTAAAATATGTATTCTTTGTCCTCTCTCTTTAGATGGAGGCAAAGTTACAAGTTATTTCCCACTTTTCTGTTAACTATCAGAGAAGCAATAGTGCAAGCACCATGGCAAATGGCAACTGATATTTGACATTGCTGTCAGGGAGACAACAGGGTGTGGCAGGGCCTGTGGCAAAATGGAAAGCACAGCTCTAAATAAAGTGAAGGCTACTTGTCATCTCCCGTTGATTTTGCCACGTGGCAAATGCCATATCTCCAGGAGTAGCTGCCTATTAGATAGGCAGACAGAATCTTCCTACTTTTAAATGTTGGCAACAAATAAAAGTTGATTAAAAGGTCTGAGTAAGCCAAATAAAACATATCTGTGGGCTAGATGCAGCTTCTCTAGTTCCTGATATATTCAAACTCAATCTGCTGTCAGGTAGGGAAACTGAGGCACAGAGCTGTTAAGTGGTCCAGCAGAGGTCACAGAAATTGGAGGTTGAAAAGCCCTGTCTTTATTTGCATGGTATGCTCCAGAACTTACTTTATTTTTAACTAGGAAGAACATGTATTTGTGTGAGTGCATGGATGTGCGTGTGTGTGTGCATCTCTGTCTGTGTGTATGTGCATGTGTGTGTGTGTGCATCTCTGTCTGTGTGTATGTGCATGTGTGTGTGCACACATGTGCACACCTGCAGGCAGGGTTAGGGGTTTGGCAAATAGGTGTTTCTTTGAAACTATACTTCTTTGGCCCTCATTGGGCATGTGGTTGGGTTTGAAATAGTTTATTCCTTCTTGGAAGGGACTTGAAACCATTTCTTTTCTCAGGGCATTTAGGGCACATGTAGTCTTTTCTTTGCAGCTTAGCAGGACTCAGGGGTTACACAGTCCCAGATTAACACAAGAGGCCCTTGAAGACAAAAATGCTCTTTGGAGCCAACTTGCCAACTCCCCATTTTACACGGGGGTCCAGAGGGGCAGGGACTTGCCCAAGCCCCATCTCTTAGGTGACAGGGAAAGGCTAGAGACAGACACGGGGCAGGAAGAACCATCAGACTCCAGGGCCTGGCCCAGTGACTCTGAACAGGTCCCCTCCCTCCTGTGGCTCAGCTTTCTGACTGCAGGCAGGGCATAGCCTCCACTCACCCTGTGACCTTGACCTCCCCTGGGCCTCAGGTATATCAGCAGGTGGTAGCCCCTGCCCTGCAGGCTTCACCTGAGGACCCCAGAAGTCAATTTTGGAGAGTGTGAAAGGGGATCAGCCTCTGTTAAGTGCTCTGTGGATGTCTCTTAAATAAACACATAAGTTAATTAATGGCCCAGCTCAGACATAGCAAGCTCTAGCCTCTGACCATGAAGGCATAGCCCGGACCCCAAGCTCAGAATCATTTGTTATTTTTGGAACACATCAAGTCATTTCCAGGGCCTCTAAGCTTCTGCATATGCCATTCCTTCCACCTGGCCTGCCAGTCAACACCGCCTATCCTGAGGTGTCATTCCTCTGTGATCCTTTGGTCAGGTCAGCCCCACCTCTGCACCCCGATGCCCACCACACTGCGATGAATTTGTCTGCCACTCCCAGCAGACTGAGAGCTCCTTAGGGCCAGGTGTCCTAGCACCCAGACCTGGCCTAGTCCCAGTGTGACCACAGGGAGGGCCACTGGGCTAGTGGCACTCCCAAATAGTTTCTGTGCACCTGCCCTTACCTGGATCTGGATCTGGTCAGAGAGCTCCTTGGCGAGGTCACACAGCTGCCCGGCCATGGGGTCCAGAGCCTTGACCATGACCTTCAGTCCAGCCAGGCCTTTCACCTGGCTGAGCATGCTCATGGCAAAGTTGTACTGCGACGAGAACTGGATTGACACCTGGGAAAGACGTCAAATGTGTTTTTAGGGAAAGGCCTAGGGTCCCTGCATCCCCCAAAAGGCAGAGCTGGACAGCAGCCCCAGACTCCCCAGCCCTTGGGTCCTTCTATGGGGTCCTGGAGTGATCAGATCCATAGAGACAGATGCAGAATGACAACTGTGGAGAGGAGGTTGGTGTTTAACGGGGACAGAGTTTTGTTTGGGGAAGATGCACAAGAGTTCTGGAGATGGATGGTGGTGACAATGGATGACAACATGAATGGACTAATGCCACTGAAGTGTACACCGAAAAATGCTTATGAGAGTAACCTTTCTGTTATATGTCTCGTACTATACAATAAAAACAGTCTGTGCTGCCAGGATGCTCAGAGAGGTAGCAAGCTGAGCTTGAGTCTCAGTGACAGCTGCTAGGAGCATCCACACACCTTGCTCCTCCCTCCAGGATCAACAGAAAGCAGGAGCCCATATAGAGCCTAGAGGCTCCCCTACGCTCTGACCCCAGCCAAGCAACTCTCCTCCGCCACTGGGCACACCAACCACACCGGCACTGCTCAGAGCCACTGCCCTCCAAGCAGGGCGACAGGCAGGGCCCTGTGTCTCATGGCCATAGCCCCCAGGGGCAGCCCCACCTAGCATTGGGGAAACACCAGGGCTCCCATGACTACCTTCCGGCTCCTGAGAATCAGGAGCCACCCCCCATTCTGGAGCCAGAGCTAACTGCTCCCCCATAATTTCTGCTCCCCTCTCAGGAAGACTGTCCTGTAACTGCCATCACCGCCACTCCCCTAATACACACACACACACACACACATACACACACACATTTTCTAGTCTGCCCCAGTCCAAACCATAGCCTGCCCTAGGCGGTCCTGAAGACAAAGGAACAAGGGGATAGGCAGAGGGCACAGAGCAAGCCGCAACTCCACCCCAGCATCACCTGAAGCCACCTGAGCCCCCTCGCAGGTGGGCTCCTGCACCTCCCCCAGGAGAGGCCACACCAGGGTTTCGGCCCCAGCACCCATGGGAGCCAAACAGGAACCCAGCCTGCAGCCTGCACGAACCCTCAAGGCCGCTGGGATCCAGGGCCGCTGGACAGTCCTGCCTGTCCCACTGTCCCCACTTAATCCTGGGTCCCAAATAGCCAGGGGTAATCCCTGGGAATTAATGCGGAACCTTGAAGAAGAGACGGAGTTGTCCAGGGGGAGTTGGGCTCAACAGGTCCCTCGCTGCACAAAGAGCAGGGTCTGTTCTGGGGATACCGCGACCCCCAATTGACCTAGGCCTGCTTGAGGATGGGGTCTGTGTCTGCTGAACCGCTCTCCACTAGCTCTCTCTGAGGAGCCTCAGATCGGGAGTTCTGCCACGCTGCCCAGAGCCCCAGATCTGCTCCCTCCCCGGCGGTTGTCCGGGCCTGCGGGACCTTCTGTTACTCGCGGGGGCGAGGGGGACCGTGCCTGAAAGAGATGAGCGAGAGAAAGAAACGAGACCAAGCGAATGATTGTCAAGGTCTACTTTACTTGGATTTTTAGTAGGTTTTATATACAGAAAACAAGGAAGTAGAAACAGAAAAATAGAATGGGGGAATAATGAGGCTTTCCTGTGGGCTAACGAGCCCCAATCAGCATCCCAATGGCACTGGAAGCTCTTTGTGATGGATCACTCAACCCCAACCTGGCAGGGGGTTGGGAACAATTGCAGGTGGCAGTGCCCTGGAGCAAGCATGGCATGGAATGCATTCTTCTTGGAACTATAGCTGGGGGGCTGGGTGCTATTTTCGTCTTAGGCTATTTTCTGGGGTGAGGCCCGTGTGTAGGACAAGTCGTTGGAATGTGAAGGGTCTTAGTCTCCAACACGCGGTGAGGCCGGATCCAACCTCGGAGCTCTGGGCACCGCAGATCCCCGCGCTGTCAGCGGAAAGCGGGCCAGTGGGAGCTCTGGGCAGCACCCTGGAGCCGCCTTTCTTGGGGAATTCAGTCCGCACACGCCCCGGAGGTTCCGGAGGTGAGCCCAGCGGTCTCCTGGCTGGCCCAGGCGCTGCCTGCCCGCCTCTGCCTGCCTCCCCCCCCCCCCCGCGAGGCCGGAGAGAAGCGGGGGTCCCCAAGAAATTCCCAGTCCCAAACTTGTCCGCCGCCGGGTTTCGGCTTACTTGTCTTGGCGGCGGCCGCTAAGCTTCAGGATGGCATCCAGTGGCTGGGCGCCGGCGCATGTGGCCAGGTGTCACCGGTGCGCTCCAGCAGGTTGGCATTCTAGCGGCTCAGTCGCGCCACTTGGCGCTGGAGCTCCCTGATGCCTGGCGACGATCCGGGTCAGCTCCTGTAGATACTCAGTCGCTTTGCCAGGGCTCAGCTGCGCTGGCCATGGCCCCTGCCAACCCCTGGCCGCGCCATGGACAGGAGAGCAGCGGGGTGGCTGGGCGGCGGCGGCTAGGGGTTCAGATGGGGGGGCTGCGGGCGGGGTTTGCGCTGCCTATCCTGGGCTCGTGCCTCCCCTGGGGCCCGACCCCGGTGTGGCCGCGCCTCCTGCTACCTGCCTCGCGGCGCTCAGCCGCCCGATGCCCCACGGAGCTGCCGGGGCGACAGGGCGCGGAGCTGCGGCCGCCTCGGGCAGCCGAGGAGTTTGCACAGTGCCACCGGCGACACGAGGGGGAGCCGGAGCCCGAGCAGCTCGCGCGGGAGGAGACCAGAGAAACAGCTTCGGTCCCAGGACTCTAGCCCCTTCATCCCTGATAGCCCACTGCGACCCGGTTCCGGCACCTCCTTCTCCCCGGCAACTGCAAAAGCGGCTAGGAAAGCACAGGCAAGCCCTGGTTTGTCAGACCCCAGTCGCTTTCCGTCACCAGGTGCCACCGCGCAACTCAGGGCTGCACACAATAGCGCAAAGTCCAAGGAAGCGCATCGCCTAATCCCACCTTCCGCCTTCCGGCGGCTGCCCGCCGCGGCGCCCGCCTCCCCCAGCCTGGGGATGCTGGCGCTCTGGTCGCCAGTCGTCTGGGGGCCCTGGCAGTGGGAACAGGGCTGCGCTGGTGTCTCCACCGGCCCGCATACGGACTTGCTGCTGCTTCCCGCGTCAGCTGCGCTCTTTCTTCTGAGGCGCCCGGAGGTAGCTTGTCCATGGGCGCCTTTTTGGAACGCGCTCCTGGCTCCTCCCGCCTCCCGCCGCCCCCGCCTCTAACTCAGCTGCAGGCGCTTTGCCTCAACTGCTCAGCTCCTTTCTGGAGATCAAAGGACAGGGCTGGAGAAGCCGGCTGGGTGCGCGGGAGCTGGCGCTGGGAGGGCTGCTGTGGTTTAGGCTGCCATCTCTGCCACCGTCAACCCCGGACGCCCAGCGGCTGCCAAAAAGAGAGAAGAGGGGAGGAGGAGGTAGGAAGCGAAGGACAAGGAAGGAAGCGAAGGACAAGGAAGAGGGCTTGAGGTTAGAGAGGCTCTCCTTTGAGTTTGGGATCAGGAGTTGCGGGGCACCGGAGCACTTGGGGGGCGGCTTGGAAAGGGAAGACTTGGAGTGAACTGTGTCCCTTGAAATGAATTGTGTCCCTTGAAATGGGTGGCGAAAGAATTCCTCCTCCTCTTCTCCCACCCAGACCAGCGGAGAGAGAGATTGGGGGGGGGGGGGGAGAAAGTGCCTCGGGCAGTCAGAAATTAAAGAGAGGATAAGGAGATTCTAGCGGGATAGGGTCAGGCACCGAGCACAAGCAAGGGACAGAGCAGTGGGTAGCACTGAACCTCCGCGGGTGGTGGGAGCAGGCGCACCGGAGAGTGGGAGGGGGACGAGCCGCTGGCTCCTGAGTCCTGCACACGCACGCCTGCCCAGGGATTCAAGTGGGACGAGTGTGTGTGCGCTTGGGAAGGGGTGGCGCCCAGGCAGACAGGGGAAGTGCCCACTTCTAATCATTGGCGGATAAAGGGGAGGAGGCTGTACAGGAGGAAAAGGAGAGGGAAGAGGGAGGCCAGGTGGACCGCCGAGTCAAGGCGTCTGGCCAAGGCCCAGAGGCAGCTTCGAAATACGACTGCCTTGGTGAAGGCGGCGATGGCACTAGGATGCTACCTAGAGCCCAGCTCACGTGCTCCCGCCCGGCGGCCGGGTTAAAGGGATAGGCCCGGGATCCCCGGTCGGCTCACCTGGGGCATCGCCCCAACCGCCGCCCGAGGTGCCCCTGGGCAGTTGTCCTGGAAAGGTGCGGAAACATGACTGACTACCCAGAGCCAAGTCTCCAAGATCGGCCTTTACCTGAGCCTCCACGGCGTGGAGCCAGCACGTTCCAGGAAGGCTGTAGCTGCACCCGCGGCCGCGTTCTAGCTCCATGGGAGTGGCAAGGGGCTGCAGAGGAGCAGGGACGGCCCTGACTGCCCCGCTCAGCCTCCAAACGCGCTCCCCACCGAGCGCCGGCGAGCGCGCTGCACACACAGACACATGCACGCAGATACACACGCATGTAAACACATGCACACTTACTGCACACTCGCGTGCAGATACACGTGCACACTCGTGAACAGAGACACTCGCAAACTCACGCACATTTACTGCACATACTGGCACGTGCAGTGCGCACACAGGCACACCGGCCAGCTTCAGTGAGCTGTCTTCCTAGTTGCAGCGCTAGGTGTAAACGGGATCTAGCAGGTTCCTAACCCCACAACTGCCCGACTTTCCCTACAATTGACCTCGACTTAACCTTCTCCCTAAGAACTCCCTTTCTGCCAAGTCCTGCTGCTATGCCCTGGGCTGCTCCTGGGTTATGTGAACCCGTGATGGCCACAGTCCCTTCCTAAAAGGTGGAGTACACTAGAAAATGAACCTCTTTTCATCCCTGGGTAACATAAAACTCTGAAAGGTTAGGTTCAGGTGTTCACACATGGCAACCAACATTATTTCGGTCTAATCCCCAAACAAACACTTTCCCCTGGGGAGGAATGTTTCCCCAGGACACGTCCCGCCGTGGAATGAGCACGCTCCCTGCAGCCCCAGGCGGGCAGTTGGGCGCCCCGCGGCGCGCGGCGGGCGCGCCAACCGCCGCTCCGTGCACAGGCGCGGGAGCCCGGGCTTTCTCCCGGGTCTGGGGCCGCTTAGCGGCGGTGGCGAGGGAGCGCCCCACGCCTCGGGCTGGCCCCCCGGACTGGGGAGGGAGGGGTCTGAGGAACCAGACGTTTTCTGTCAGGGCTTCGCTGACAAGATGGTATCCTGCAGGCGCGCGCCCCAGAGCGCGCATGCTCCGTGGCCGGGGGCGTGGCATCGCGATAAGCTGGGGCCTGCGCCGCCTTGGGACCCTATTTGCATAGGGGCGGGGCGGGGTGGAAAAAACGGTCAGGCACTGCAGGGGCGGAGCCAGCGCCTGATTGACAGCCCAGAGGCCAATGAGAGAAGAAACGGCTGCTCACGGAACGCGCCGCCTACGGTTAAACTGTCACCGGCTCCTTGGAGTTCATTGTAACGGGTTTTACCTGTCAGTTCTTAATCTGGCTCGGCTCCGCCAACCGCTTTCGAAACTTCCCCTCTCTGGCGATTTCTACAAGGTTTTGGACCTACCTTGTCTAAAGCAGCTTGGTGAGCGCTGTTACCCATGTCAATCTTACAGGTGCGGCAACTCAGGCCTCCAGACGCTAACCTAAGCAGGGACGCCGCTGATCCCGCTGATCCCGTCTAGGCACTCTGACCCTACAGCCCACCCTGTTGAGGGTCTGCAGTTCTACTCGCCCTTAGAACTGGAAATCGGGGCGGAGCAGGGTCCGGTAACGAGGACTGGGGTGAATGTAGTTGAACAGATGGTTGGCAGAAGTGTCATAGGAGGGGACAGAAATACTAATAAAAAGCTGGTTGGGTCCTACACCGACTCAGCTCTCTGGGTGAGAGCTCAGAGGATGGACATGCGAGGGGAGACAGGAGGGAGGAAGGTGAGAATGTGGCTGTTACGGGCCAGGCTGTCCCCCGGCTGCAGGAGCCTGGCAGCACTGCAGTATGATGTGGCTTTGGGTTAAGAGCAGGTGCAGAAAAGCTGTTCTCTTGGGGCTGTGTGTTTTCCAGGTGTGAAGTTAAGCATTTTAGGAGCATAACAGTGTTGTTGTAGTTCCTAGAAGACAGTTGCCTCAGTCTGCTGGGGCTGTCATAACAACATACCATAGACAAGGGGGCTTTGACAAATTTATTTTCTTGCAGCACCAGAGGCTGAGAAGTCTGAGATCAACGTACTGGCAGTTGTGGTTCCCGGTGATGCCTCTTTCTGGCTTGCAGATGGCCACCATCTATCTGCGTCCTCACATGGTAGACCAAGGTCTCTCTCTCTTTCTCCCCTTATAAAACCATCAATTCTGTTGGATTATGGCCGCACCTTCATGACCTCCTTTAACCTTAACAGCCTCCTTAAAAGCCTTATCTCCAAATATAGTCACTTTGGGGGTTAGGCCTTCAACACATGAATTTGGGGAGACACAGTCCATTCCATAAGACATGGGGAGGTGAAATAAAATCTTTAAGGAAGGTAAATCAGAACATTTAAATAAATAAACAATTCCTGCTGGTAGTAAACTGAGCCTGGCCTAAATTAATTTGCTTTTTTTTTTTTTTTGAGACAGAGTCTCGTTCTGTTGCCCAGGCCAGAGTGCTGTGGCTGTGCTGCGTGCCACAACGCCTGGCTAATTTTTCTATTTTTAGTAAAGATGGGATCTTACTTTTGTTCAGGTTGGTCTTGAACTCCTGAGCTCAAGTGATCTTCCCGCCTCAAACTTCCAGAGTGCTAGGATTACAGGGGTGAGTCACCATGCCTGGCCTGCTATTTTTTTTTTTCTTTACTACCTCTATCAACTAAGATTGTGGGTATATGTGACTGTAATATAAGTTTGTAGTTTATAGTAATTTTCCATAGTCCTGTGGAACAGCACTCCTCACCCCTACAATTCTCTACCACTGATAAAAGGCACTTATGAGCTCAAGGGAAAAGATATGATCCAAAGGACAGGCTGAGATCCTGAAATTTGATACCTAATAGCACATAATCTCTCTTCTTTTGAGTCTCATGTTAATTTTTATTATACCTATTTTACATGTGAAGAAATAGAGGCCCTACAAGTTAAGCAGATTGTCTAAGGAAGTGTTGTAGGGAGGTGCACAGTCTGTGTCTGGAGCCAAACCTACCTCTTCTGATTCTTAAGCCTTATTTTTTTGCATGTTTTCACCACCCATGATGAAATATCCTAAGAAAATAACCACCTTCAGCAGAAGGGAAACCCTGCTCTTTATTCTTTACAGAAATATTGGCAGTCATGGGTACCTCTCATTCTCCTGAGAGGGCTCGGAGTTCTCTGAAAGGGCCTTGGAATTTGGCGCCTCAGATGTGCCTAAGAACAGCTTTGTGGGTTTACTCCAAGCAGCTGGTGAGGTAAGGACAGCTCAGACATCTTTCTGGCTCCAGCCAAGGTAGGACACCTCCATCCACCTAGCTGGCTGGGCACCTACCCAGCAAAATTTCCTGTGAGCAGAGCATGACTTGGTCCAGTTCATTCACAGCTCCAGGTCTGGTTCCCATGTCCCTCCTGTGACCCAGAACTTCTCCACTCCCACAACCACTGGTCCAGCTTTAACCCTCTCTCTGCACTCACTCCTCCTCTTCCTTTCTCTGCCAGAGATTGCCATTCACTTTATTATTTTCTTTCTTCTTGAGTACCCTCTCTCCTCTCAGTTTATGCAGACAACATCTTAGAAAGCCTCAAGTTGCCACAAGTCAAAATCTTAAATGACAAGCTGTCATGTGCACAGTGCCAGACAGTGGCAGATACCACCATCACCTAGCTGCAGACAGTGATGAAGAACTCTTGCCTCTAGGCTGGGGAGAAGGAGAGAAAGGATCCCGGGTCTGAGCCAGAAGTTCTCTTTTGCTGGGTGATGACATTTGGAACCAAGTAGGACTCGGGATATGAGTGCCTCAAGTTTCTAAACAGTGTGATTGAGCCCATATCTTGTCCCCTGAACACACCTCAAGAAATGTGCCGTAGGCAGATGGAAGACACAGTAACGGCCAAGGGCCAAGGAACTGAGATGGACAATGGGAGGGATCTGGGCTATTGGTCTCAGCATCTGACCTGGTCCTCAGACTGTGTCCTAAACCTCCTCCTGGGATACCTTTGTGACTCAATTAATCATCCCAATCAATTTTCTAACCATGTTTAAATCTACTCACCTGCCTGCTATCCCAGCTCTACACTGAATTTCTGTGACATCTACCTATCTATCCAGCCACATAGTTTTGCAGTTACTTTCCTGACACTGGGCTAATCTGCTGTCTTATTTTCCTGGTTAACTACTACTACCTAGGAGGTACCCTTCTTCCAGTTTATCTGCCTTCCCATGGCACAGTTGTCTTGTGACCTAGACCTCTGACCTCCAAGGGACTTTCTCAAGTTGTTTCCACAACTTCCACCTACCTTCCTGATGGTTCATTCTCAGCTGCAGGGGAGACTCTGGGCTCTGGAACCTCCAGTCCCCACCCTCACCCCAACACACAAGCCAGAGACATTTCAGGCCGAGACCTTGTCCCTCATTGTCTGCTTATCCTCTTGTACACTTGAGGAAGCTCTTGCCCTCCAGCACTGGGAAGGTGAATGTTGGATGGGCAGAGGGTAGAGGTGACTGAGCTCCTGGCCTCTTGAGAGAAGAGAATCACTTACTGACCAAAGCGGATTCTCACAAGCCTAGGGATTTATTTGTCTTGGGGATGAGCCTGGGACCAGTCGGTCCTTCTCTTTCCAGGAGCCTCAGGGAAAACTGGCTGATGTATGTACCTTGGTCCTAGCCTCTCTGGGGTCCTGTAGCCCAGGAATGATAATGGATACACTGTTATATGAGTCACAGGACGACAGGCTGCCCCTAAGGAGCCTCCTGGCAGCAGTGGGGGAACTTGGCCTCCACCCAGGTCTGGACCCTGTGATGGGAGAGTCCCTGGGGGAAGATGATGGGGCAGGGGGGAAGGGGGCACTGTGCGGAGTCTTCATTCTCCTAATTCTTCTCACGGGACAGCTCCACTTGGGCCATGATGGGGTGGGGAGGGGGACAAACCAGGATGCCTGTAGGGCTGATGGGGACTCAGGAGGAGTTCCCGGGGACCAGGAGTGTCTCAGAAGGAAGAGTGTGAGGGTGTGAAACTGGGGGGGATAAAGATTGAGGAACAAAGATGAAGCAGAAGGCAGAACAGAAAGCAGAGAGAGCAGAGAGACCAGAGTCGTGAGCCCTGTGTGCCGCCATCCAACTTCAAAGGTCAGTCCTGTGCCATGTTATTTTACTTACACCCTTCACATTCTCCAACTTCTTTACCTCTGAATTATTTTGAAGCAAATTACATCCATAAATATCTTAGTATGTTTATCAAATATAAGAATCTATTAAAATATATAAGTGTACAGTCACTATTATATTTCAAATGTAACTTTGATTTAATTTCTTAATGTTATAAATATTCAGACAATGTTTAATTTGGCCTGATGGTCTCACAAATATATATATTTTTAAAAATTGCTCACTTGAATCAGGTCCTAAATAGTTGCATACACTCCCATCTGTTGGTTGCTTAAGTCTCTTCATCTATACATTTCCCTTCTGTCACTTTTTCCTTGAAATATATTTGTCGAAGAAACCAAGTAATTTCTTCTGTAAATGTTCCACATTGTGGGTTGCACTGATTCCATCCTTTTAGGGAATTTAACAAATTCCTTTATCCCCGTATTTCCTCTAGATTATTAGATCTAGAGGCTTGATCAGATTCAGAATTAATTTTTAGCAAGGTTACTTCACAGGCAGTCCTGTTGTATCACTTCAATTTAAAATGGATTTTAAAATATTTGATGTGTTTGAATCAATGAGAACTATTTTTCTTATTAATGCTTCAATTGTCTCATCTTTTGTCAGTGACGACCTCTTCAAGTTGTCTTCAGGAAGGGTGTTTTTTGTTTGGTTGTTTTTAACTGGTGTAGCATCAGTATTATCTGAAGTTGGATTTGGTTGTGGATGTTTTCATCTGCTGTTATTCTTCATTTTCAGTTGTAAGTTGCCTTTTGTTTACCTGCATCATTGTCAGATTAGTGGCTACAGGCTGACATGGAGCAAGTAATGTGTATTTGGATCAGTGGTATTTAGGCCCTGTAATTTGCCAGTGGTGAGACATTACACATTGTGTTTCAAATAGGAATGATCCATAACTATATTTCTCCAACAAATTTATGCATAACTTACCACTGAATGTGTGAATACAGTTGACACTTCTTTGTTATTACCAGGTTCTTTTTCTACTGAAGAATAGGAAGAGGTGGGTAGGAGAACTATGGGGTTTGTTGACCCATTGTAGAGAGCCATGGTCAATATCATTTCAGAGTCACTGCTTACACCTGGAAGAAAGAGGCACTAGTGGAGAGATTTCTAGCACCTAGAGAAGGAGAAAATAGGGGGCTGGGAAAAAGTGCCAGGCCTACATAGAATGCACCTCTAGGCCAAAGAAATCCTGCTCTCAGAAGTATGGCCCTGATTCTGCGAGGAAGCCAGCCTCAAGGTTCCCTTTCTACCCTCTGAGATCCAGCTAATTGGGCCTCTCCTTTCATCTTCTTCCCCCTCCAGCTTCTCCAGACGTGGCTGGATTCCCAGAAGGACTGAGTGGGAACGGACCATGTGGTGTGCTACCTGTGTTCTTGGCTTTACTGTAAAAATGAAAAACTTCCAAGTGAGTGGCCACCTGCCCCAGAGCCTGTGGCCTGGTACCCTCTCTTGTCACCCTCACCCCTACCTTTGTCCCCAACTTCATCACAACTGTCACCTGGCCTCGGCACTCAGCCTCACCCTCTGCCCCCGGGCCCCCTGCTCTGTGTCCTCCTGTGCATCCCATCTTGTTCTCTCCTTTCTTTCCCCTCCCTCTCCCCCAACCCCCATGTCTTCCACTTGGTCTTTTTGTGCATCCACCAGTTCAATTCCATCCCACACGCTCGGTCTCCATTCACCTCACCAAGCAGTTACTGGACTATCACCTAGGCCAGGCACTGTGCTAATAGGTATAGTGGAAACGTAGATGACCAGGACAGTTCCCTCAATGCCATGATGAATGCACAAACCAAGTGGGGTGGGGAGAATGTATGGAAACACAAATGATCACAAGGGAGGGAATCCAGGAAAGCTTCATAGAGGAGGACGCATTTGAGCTGGGCCTGAAGGACGAGTGGGGTGTCAAGAGGCAGAGAAGGGGGGACAGTGTCAGGTCCTGCCCCCGCTGTGCTGGGGTATGTGCTTTCCAGCCACATGTCATCTGATTCCTTCCCTGTTCCCGAACATGGTCTCACCACTCAGATCTCTGACACATGTGTCCCCTCCTCGTTTTTCCCCTGTGACATCCCAGCCTGAAGCAGTGGCTGGGATAACTTGTGACTTCTAGCTCTCCTCCCCAGGTGGAAATTCCATTCACCCGGCTGGGGCACCTGGTGCGGATGCTGGCCATGCACTGCCAGGACCCAGTGGACGGCATCTGCTCCTTGTCTGCAGAGGCCACCTGCAACCTCTACTGTGTCCTCCTGCCGCAAAAGCACCTGCACAGCCTCTCTCATCCCTGCCCTCCAACCTCTGCACACGCTCCGTTCCAGAAGAGCCAGGGCCTAGAATTACCTGAGCACTTTGTTTCCATGGAGGGACCTGCCTCCAAACACCTGCAGTGACCTTCTGGGGACAAAATACCTGCTCAGGAAAGAGTTCTTTTGAATTAGTTCCTCCCCATCTGGCTGAACTTCATACTCATCCCCAGTTCTGTCTCTGCTCTGAGGAAGGCAAAGTGGGGATCCTTAGATGGGGGCCTTCAGCTCCATTCCTCAAGGTGATGTCCGCTCTCCCCTCCCCCAGCCCCCTGCTCTTTGCAAGCTGGCTTAGCTCAGTAGGTGCCTTGGGCTAGGCCAGGTCCCTGAAAGGTGGGAAAGGGTGGCCTCAGAAGCCTTCTGAGTCTCTGAGGGGTGGGCTTGGGGCCTGTGCTTCAGAGATGGGAAGGAAACAACGGGGGCTGTTGGTGGAAGAGGACCAGAGTGAAGCCTGCAGTGCCAGCACGGTTCAGATCAGCAAGGGGGGAAGGGGCAGAGACAGAGTGGGGAGGAGGGGTCTCATTTACATAATGTTCTACCCCCTCGGGTGGGACTCTGGTATTCCCCTGCCTTCCCTCTCTGTGACTGGCCGTGAAAATTTTCTTTGGGGGACTGTCCTGTGCCATGGAAGACTCAGGCCTGGGCTCCCAAATGCTCTCTCTTAAGGACACTGAGTCCTGATCGTTCATCATGGCCTGTCCCACAGGAGCATTGGTTTCATGGTCCTGATGCTTCCTGAGCAATGTGTGTCCCAAGTTCTGCCTCAGAGAGGTGGCACTAAGGATCCTAGCACCAGCCCCCTCCCCCACTACTCTTCCTCTCCAGCCTCTGACATCTGAGCCCCACATTGCACCTGAGGTCAGTGTGTCTGCCTCCCACCCCAAGGACTCTGGCTGTGGGGACAGTGTCCTCTGGGAACACAGCAGACAGGACGGGCCTAGGACAAAGGGCATCTTGCTCCTGGAGGGGTTCTTCCCAGGACCATCCTCTTCCCAGGAAGGGTGGTCCGGGGCATCTGAGGCAGGGTGCCCAGGTGAGCTCAGACTGACGGCCCATGTTGCAGGTGTTTGCAGAGTACTTCACCCAGATCCGGCTCAGCACCCTGGAGCTGGAAGCCATGGAGCAAGGCTGAGTTTTCTGTGGTTGCTGCCCAGCTGATGGGCATTGTCATGAAAGAGCAGGGCAGAGACATGAGTGGCACTATGGCAAGAGCTCTGCCCTGTAAATCAGGAGCCCTGGGCTCTCTCCTGGCTCTAGTACCAAACAGATGAAGGGCCTCTGGCAAGTCCCTTCTCTTCTGTTGGTCTTAATTCACTCACCTATAAAATATAGGTGAGCTTGGACTAAATTTTCTGTGTGGTCCCACTGAGCTGTGACAATTGTAATCTTGAGTTCAAAACCGCCTCCTGCATTGGGTCTGGTTCCTCACTTAACATCATCATGTACAGGGCTGCAGGCAGCTGGGGTGGCTAAAAGTGAGAGCATAGGGAGGCATTGTTGGGGGTATTCACCTTGTTCCCTGGGATGCCAGGGCTTAGGCTGTGGATTGCACATCAACAAGCTCGTGGGATGAGTCTGACCTTAGAATGCATTAGGTCTTTTCTTTTTCTTTAGTTTAACATGAAAGATTTGGCATAAAAAAAAATCTATATTTCCCACTTCACTGAAAAAAATTTAAAATGTGTTCACGTAGGGTACCTATCTGAGTGGCCACTGTCCCTTTAATAGATAGAGCATGGGCCCTCTCAGACCATCCTACTCTCTCTGAGTCCCCTGACAGCTCTCGCTCACTTATGTGACCTTCCTGGCTCAGGGACTGGAACTGGAAGGACGTGCTGAGGGTGTCTGGAAGCACTGCACTGGAGTGGTCTTTCCGGGGCTCTGTGTTAAGGACTTGAGGGCCAGGACAGAGCCTGGGGCACCCCACCTCCCAATGCCATTTGTCCCTGCAGTGCTGAGGGTTGAAATTAATTGAAAATTGATCCTAGCTGGAAGGGGACCCTCGGAAGTGTCTGCAGGGCCCTTGCCTTCCCTCCTGGTGGACTGGCACCTCCTGAGTAAGCTGAGAACTCATCTATAAGCTTTGGGGCTGTGGGCAGGCATTTGCTACAGTGGCCTTGGTGCCAGCTTCTAGATTTTCTCCTGTGGCCCTTGCTCATCTGGCATCGGGTGGCCCAGAACTCTGCCTTGAGAAGGGCATCACTGGCAGGACTGTAACTAGGCCCCCTTGAGTTTCGGAGTTGGTGGAAGAGGAGGGTGGGAAGGGAGCATGGAAGGAGTTATGGGGAGTTCTCTTGGCTCTGCCCTGTAGCTTGAGGAAATTGTGGAGGGTGTCCTTGAATGGCTCAACTTGAATCCGGAGCCCAAGATAAAGGAGACCCTGCAGGCCCTGTGCTCTCTTGCAGCCAGTAACAGCTGCACTCTGGTCCCCATGCTGCTCAGCAAGCCCCTGCCCTGTGACAGGTACCTCCGCCCTGGCCCAGGGGCACATTCTATAGCCCAGGAAGCCCCTTGTGCCTGGCCCCAAGCCCAGATTAAAAGTCATCCTGCAAGGATGCTGTCTCTTTACCCCCTTCTCTTTGATCCCAAGCAAGCCTCCTCTCCATGCGCTCTGGCCAATTTCTCTTTGGTCTCACTTCCTCTGGTCCCTGAGAACCTGCTCTTCATGGGCCTGAGATCAGACTTGTCCTAGGAGTGTGATAAGCAGGGCCCATGACATTGCTGTCCCTGGGTTTTGCAGCTCTACTCTGGCCATGTGGAAGTTATTTGGCATCCAGCGAGACACCAGACTCAATGTCCTGCAGCTGCTCACAGACATCCTGGAAAAGACCCGCTCCAGGGAGGACACAGTGGAGATGGACCCCCAGCCTGTGGCGGTCAGTACAGGGAGGAGGGGCCTAGGACGTCCTGTTCTGGGAGCTTGGGGGCAGAGTTGTGGATCAAAGGGCTTGACTTCCAGGGTCAAGGAGGTACTGAGAAGGGGCAGAGAGGAGAAGGTTCACACTGGCTCTTCACAGGAGCACTGTAACCTCCTTTTGGTGCTTTTGGATCTAAGAATGCATGGTGGAGAAGGGGCGGGGACCAATCCCACTGTATGAAGAAGGAAACTGACAAGCAGGGTCACCACCTTGTGCTCTCTCCTGATTCTGAGGCTGGCCTCATTTTACAGGAAGCCTGGGGGCGTGGCAAGGGACATAGGAGAGGAGGAAGATTGGTGGTCTGGAGTTAGTGTGGACAAAGTATGGCAGAAATCATCTTCTGCTGAACATATAGAGTCAGTTTCCTTTCCACTGTTAATGTCAAGTGAGCAGAAGAGGAAGCAGATTGCATGTGGGTGGCCCCCTCATTTCCCTAGGGGTGAGGTGGGGTGTTCAGTCTTTGGATGTTTCTTACAAGCTTGGCTCAGAGTGAGCTGTGCCTGCTGGGCAGTGACAGGGAGGCAGAGTGGGTGACATTCTGCAGGCTGTCCACTGCATGCACTGCCACCCGCACCTCAGAGTTCAAGAAGCCCCATAAGAATGGAATCAGCCTCTTGAGAGCCTTTGTCTATGTGGGAGAAGGCAGAGATCACACACTACCTGGGGATCAAGCGGCTCTCTGGGACTTAGAGCACATAGATGGTGCTAAGAGGAACAGACATGGGAAACCTAGGGGCTGGACATGCCAAGGAAATGAAGGCTCAGGGGGCCAGACAGCTTGAGGACATGCCTAGGGAGGCCCACACACTGGGTATTGTGATGTCCTCGGATGAGGGGGAGATGTATTAAACCTGGGGCAACTAAGGGACCCAAGGAGGAAAAGCAAATGCTTCAGGGACTCCCAGGGACTCCCACTGGGCCCTCCCCCACTCTTACATATTCTGGGTGCAGGGCCGGGTTACTGGTTCCCCGCAGGCCAGTTTTCTCCATGATGAGATTGGATCTTGATTTACTGAATTAGAGCACCCAGATATTCATGCCTCAGGGTCTGTGCCACTGATGGTGCCAGAGAGCTGAGGGGCAGCACATCATGGTTACAGACAGAGGAAAGGTTGTGGGGACCCTGTGCTCCCCTCCAGTCCCTCAGCCACTGCTCAGGCAAGGACTGCATCCAGCTGAGGGCAGTGGCAGATCTGGTCACATGGGGAGGAGGCTATGAGGAAGGGCTTGGGGGTAGTGCTGGTAAGCCTTGAATTTGGAGACCGATTCTGGGATCTGTGCATTATTTTGGGAGGACTAAAACTGCTAATACCTTCCCAGCTTTCCTGGCCTTCTTGAACCAGTCTGCTGATGGGCCAGGGAAGGGAACCCATTTGAGATGGCCTGCTTCTCTTTTTCTCTCCTCACTGGGACAAGTGAGCTAACATCCTGTTAAACAGGCAGTCCCTCAGCTACAGGAAGGTGATGGCTGCAGCTGTTGGGCTCTCCCAGCTTTCACCTGGGCATAGAAGGCCCTGGCCAGGATCTTCCTACCCTCATTCCTGCTGCAGAGATACTTCTGCACAAGGCTCATGATTTGGTGAAGAAAGGAAGCATCACACGTCTTTACCATTTTGCTGGTTTGGGACACACAAAGCAAGCAGTTGCCAGGGGTGGGGGAAGTGACCAGGGGCCAGTGTGCACCCAACTGGGAAGACATGCGGGCTGAGGAGTCAGGAGAGCAGAGAGCTAGGAGGTGGGAGAGGGAGGGAGGAAGGCTACTATATTTGAGTGCTGGGACCTGGGAAACTGGGGTCGGGGGTCAGAGTGGTGCCAGGGACACTGGGGAAGTGGTTCCCTCTTGTCAGGTCTATGACCCATGTGTGGAAAGATTTGGAGCTGGACAGAAGGTCCCAGCATGGATGGTCATGTGCATAGGACACTACTCTTTCAAACGCAGCTGCCAGTACCAACTGCACTACGTCCAAAGCAAAACTGAAGGCCACCACCATCAGGTCTGTGAAAAAAAAAAAGGACAAAAGATGAACAAGGTGTTGCATTCCTGTGCTGGCGAGTTGGAGACAGTTCTCAGATCTGGGATCTGGGTTCTGCTCTGCTGCTGACAAGAAGTCATGACTCTGTGGCCCCATCTCCAATTGCTCATCCACTCACCCCCTCACCCAGACCCTCCTCCAACCATGGAGTCCTATGAAAGACACCACAGGGATGTCCTAGTGGCGGTTTCCAAATGCTGCTCTCGCACTTCACCTCCACACCTAATCAGTGTCTCTCCTTTGTTGGCTTCATTTGTTTTCATTTTCATTTCATATTTCATTGGAATCAAATGTGTGAGGTTAAAGAAAAAGCATGACAACCTCTTATTTAGGAGTCCAGCCCCCACCTCACAGGTGAGAAAACTGAATTCCAGTAGGGACTTGCACAAGATGGGGCAGCTAGTGAGGAAGTGAAGGCAGAGGCCAACCAGGCTGATTCAAATGGCCAACCCTGAGTGCAGAGGCTGACACAGTCTTGGCCCCGTCATCTGCTGTCCTAGGATGGGATGACTGCAGCAATGTGTAATGGCCCATTCTGAGCTAGTGTGCATGTGATAGCTTTCTTTTTGGTTTTGCCATTGAAGGACTGATGAGGAATCCTCTCTGTTTAGCCATTATGCTGTGATGTGCACATCCAACTTGTTAAAAAGTCTACCTCTGTTCAGGAACTCTCTCTCCTGTCCTACCATGCCTCTGTCATTTGGCACTGTGCCTAGCTCATGATAGATGCTCATGACATATTTGTTCAGTTAATATATAATGCACTCCTGAAAGTATAAGAACTTAGCTGTTTGTGGACATTACTCATTCACATAAGCTAATATAGACTTAAACAGTTTTAACCACAGCATAACTAGGATAAAAATATGCATTTTTAAAAACGTGGCATGCTTAAGCTAAATTCTTAGAAGGGAAGAAAGTTACGAGCTGTAGATGTGGTCCATGGTAGAATTAAAGCCATGATGTTGGTTGTCCTGGCCCTGTGCCTACATGAACTGACTTCTCAGCTCTGGGGGTCTAAAGAGAATCACTCAGGGACACAGCAGTGTGGTCTCCACAGTGAGGAAGCAGGGCGGCCGGTGCTCCCTGGACACGCACACGGAGATGGGCATGAGAGGCAGCCGGGGAAGCCACCGCCTCCTCATCTCCATTTTGTGCTCCATGGCAGTGAGGATCGCAGCCACCTCTGTCCTGGACCACATGCTGGGGCAGGACATGAAATATAAGCTAGGAGACACAATGAAAAGGGAACTGCATAAATTTCTGCTCCCGTTGCTGCTGAACATGCAGGAGGAAAACAGTGAGGTGGTCAAGGTACACTGGTTATCACTGTCCTGCCAAGCCCAGGCCACTGCATGCCCTCTTTGTGCCTGAGCAGAGCCCCTTCCCTTCGGCTCTTTCTTCACTAGGCCGGCCGTGGCTGTGCACTCTGCAGCCGCCTGCTTGGCATCCTCCTCTGGGCTGGCCCTGAGCACTGTTCTCTTTCTGGAGAACAGGTCAAGTGGCTTCTAGGTGGAAACATTCTGTAAGACAGTGCGAATGGATAGGCAACTTGCGCCACATCCACACAATGGAATGCCACTAAGCCCTAAAAGGGAACGAACTATCGATATGCACCATGTCATGAGTGAACCTCCAGAACACGTGCTAAGTGAAAGAAACCTGCCACAAAAGGCTGTTTCTTATGGAAGTTCTGGATAGGCAACTCCATAGAGATAGAAGTAGATTAGCAATTGCCAGGGAGGGGTGAGCAAGGGAATGCACTGTGTGTGGAGGATTGAGGGATCTCACTGGGGAGAGATGTTTTAAGACTGATATACTGTGGTGATTGCACCATTCAGTAAAGTCACTGAAAATCATAGAATTATAAAACAAAACAAACAAAAAACCCTGAGTCACATTCACTGTGTTCAGTTGGACGCATTTTTTAAAAAAGCACTGAGAATGAAAATCATCCTTCACCATCCATAGTTGGGGGAGAATTTCCTTCCGGGCTTTTCTCCACGTACAGATACTTTGTCAGCACCACTGGGCTCCTGCTGGCAGTGAGGCTTTGTAGTGCGGTCATCTTGCCTACTTCCACACTGTGTCCTACAGCGTTAGCTCTCCGAGGCCAGTGCAACTTAAAGTCACCAGGGGAAAAGCCAGTAAGTTTGGGAGTGGCAGTGGTACATGAAGTTAAGTGTGTATGCTCAGTGTGCTAGCCAATGTGCATTTTGGTTCTGCAAGGGGAAGAGACAGGGGCAGAGAGAGTGTCTGGGGTGTTCCTTCCATCTGTCCATCTGGATGCACTGTCTGCTGCTCTCCGAGCTCTGTGTCCTAGAAATGTGCCATCTCCCACCAGCTCCTGTGCCCTCGGCTTCCTGCTGGGTTCCCTGATGGGAGATCATTGGGCAGGATGGAGAGAGGCTGGGGTATTCCTTCTCCAGCCTCCTCTGTGCCATCCGTCCCTCTGTCCCCAGCCACAGCTCTCTCCTGCAGTCCCTTCAGGTTCTGGTAACTGCTCCCTCCCCTGTCCAGCCCTGGGTGCTTCAGCCTCTCTGCTTGGCTCCCTGCCCTGCTGCCCTCTGCGAGCCTGCCCTTCACGTGGTCACTCTGATGGTCTTTTCCGAGGGGCTTTTGTTCCCTGCTGTGCAGCGTGTCCTAAATGTACTGGAGCAGGAGTTTCTCATGGAGGTCACGTGGGATACGGCTAGGGAAACATTGTTCTCCAGCAGCCTTTTGAATGGCTGCATAATCCCCCATATTGCATGTGTGAGGTTGTCATGTATTTAACCTCCTACCACAGAGCCGTTGGCCATTGCTGGTGTTTTGTACATCTTTGTGCAATGATTATGTCCTTTGGAGAGATTTCTAGAATGGCCATAGGGCACGCCCACTTAAAGGTATTTCCAGTAGATCTTTGAGCTCTGGAAGCCTGCCCAGCCCAGGAGCAGTGTCCTACCAGCTTGAGGGCACCACTCCCTGCAGACTATGGCTGTGGAAGCTGCAGACAGCAATTTGGTTTGGAGACCCCAGGCCTGTTTTGTTCGGGCACTTTGAGGACACTTGTTCTGTGAGCTCTGTAGCAGGTCCTGCCTGAAGTGTCCTGTCCCTTCTCAACAAGGGATGTTTGAGAAACAGGTTTGAGTCCCAGCTCAGCCACTCCCAGGAGTATGACATAGTCCCATCGTGGAGGCCCTCTGAGGTCTGGCCCTCAGAGTTGTGAAACTCAGGGTTTGCATGGGATCTGATCAAATAGTCTCAAGTGCCCACCACTTTGCCCAGCCCGTACTGGGGGTGAGACGCAGTGGCCGTGCGTCTGCCTTTTCCGAGCTGCACGCACACATCCAGGCATGAGGTCTTGGTATTTTGTTGTCTGTGTGACTTTGCCTTCCCTGGCCCTGGCACCAAAGTGGCATTTGTCAACTCCTTCAGATGCACAAAGTGCTGTCTGGCTACTTGTGACTGTGAATTTATTCAGGCTTAAAATATTTCTTAAAATGAAACTCTTGCCGTTCCAGTTCTTTGCTTTTCTAGGGGAGCCTGAGGCCGACCTTTACAACTGCCACAGAGCCGCCCCAATGGGCACGTCCAGCACCTGGACGGTGGACACTACTACTTTGCGTGTGCCTGGAGTGGTTATTTTGGTATTCAGCCAATAATTCACATGGGTTTAATTGGTGTGTCCTTCCCAGTTCCATCAGGCAGTTGCATGGAGCCTGCTCTGTCCTCCCGGCAGTCCTCGAGTCAGCGTTCCGCACCTCACCTCGTCTGATGTTTTACTCTGGAGTCTCTTTCATTCCCCAGGCCGAGGGCTTTGTTTGATTTCTCTCCACATTCCTGTCTTGTGTGCTGCAGAAGCCTTTCTTTGGGACTATCTTCTGATAACAGAGGCCACACTCCCTGTCTCGCTTGCCAGATGGCAAACGAGGTGCTGAGTTTGCACCATCTGCATGTCACCTCCCCCAGCCTTTGCCAAGCATACCCAGCACCAGGGGTCACATTCAGCAGACGCTCACTCATTCTACCTGCCCTTACACCTGCCCTGGGACCTAGTACAGGCCAGGCACTGGGGCTCGCCATGCAGAAAGACATCATCCATCCATTTACTCCTCACCCATTCAGCCAGCCGGAGTGTAGCAGAACCCTGTGTCAGTCCTAGCCCTCACTTGCAAGCAACGGAACCTACTCTTGCCGGTTGACACAGACACAGAAGTTGTTCCGGGATGTCAAGTGCTGCGCACCGTCTGGGAGGCCCAGAGAACCAGCTGCACAGTCAGGAGCAACACTTGCCTGAGACTCGCTCTGCTCCACCGGATACCAGCTCATGCCCCACGGCTGCCCCTGCACGCTGCCATCTTTGCTGCCTTCGCCAGGATGGAGGGGCCACGTCCCCACCCACCTCAGAGGCTTCTGACGGATTTCCTGCAGGGAACGTTGTCCTGGCAGTGAGGCCCCAGGCCACATGCGGCATTCATGGAGCTGTGAAAGGTAGCACCTCTGTTTTTTCTCAGGGAAGGGAGGGCTCAGGGATGGGATGCGCCCTGAACTCCAGGCAAGGGGGTCATGGCCAAAGTCACAACTCAGGCTTGCTCCAAGGAGATGAAAGCAGGTGTGACTGGGTGGGTTTCTGAGTATGGGTTGTTATGCGTGAATAGGAGTTCACCAGGTGGACAGGAAGGGGTGGAGGGAACAGCATGTGTAGGGGTGCGAAAGGGTGAACAGTGAGGCTAGGGGCTGAGAGCAGTTCTGGGAGCTGGGGTGGCGAAGACACTAGTGGCTCTGTGTGCCCTTCAGAGTTGCCACTTTTCCCTGCAGCAGTGGAGGCACCAAAGGGTGTATTCCAGGCAGTTAGGTAGAGAGGATGTGTCCCACCACGTCATTCTCCAGCGTGTCCTATTCGATTTAGCTTTGAGTGGCTGTTCCACACCTAGTTACTACGCAGTGTCCAGCCACTCGTCGTTTTGCTACATCTATCTAGCCACCCACCCACCTAGTCCTTGCCACGTTCTGAACCACCACCTACTTATAAAACCTGAATTGTCAAGCTGAATCATTTGGGAAACTGATTTGGGGTGTACACCCCCATCTAGTAAGCTTAGACGGTGCTGGGCTAATAGTCTAGGGATGAGTCAAGCTGTGGTTAGTGAGGCACGAACAGCGCCAAGAACTGGGGAGGCTGCTTTGGGGACCCACACTCCCTTACCCACTTACCCACCCAGGACCTCAGGTGCACAGAATGGAGCCATCATAACTCTTGCTCCATGCCTGGCCCTATTTGTTTATCATGACAGTACATAAATAAACACCCAGATGTGCACTCACCGCCCACACTGGGAGCTAGAATAGTGTCAGCGCGATGCATCTCCCCACACGCCCCGCCTCCTCACCCACAGGCGACTGCCTCCGGGTCTTGTGTGTAACCTGCCCTGCTTCTGTTTTTGTTTGTTTGCTTTATTAAATAATGCATACAAAAGGTGTTTTTTTTTTTAGTTTTGCCTATGATTTTCAAACTTTTAATTAAGGTATAGTTCGTACATAATAAAAGGCGCACATCCTAGTTGCACATTTGTTGAGTTTTACAGTTATATGCGCTTGTGTATGTGAAGGTGTCTAAGTATCTACTGCTGAGATGAAGATTTAAGGCCCCAGAATGCTCCCCAGTGCCCCCTCCCAGTCATATCGCCCCCGCCCCAACCACTGTCTCAACTGGGCTTTGTACGGTGTCTACACAGTCAGATCTAATTCTCTGTGTCTGGCTACTTCCATGCACCCTCCTGCAAGACCCACGTTTCTCTGTGTGGTTGGGGTTGGTTCATTTCACTGCCCTTCAGCATCCCCTGTCTCCTGTGCATGCCTGTCCGTGTGGGTACGTACCTAGAAGTAGACTTGCCAAGGAGGTGCAAGTGTTCAGCTTTCATAGAAACAGTTTTCCAAAGAGCACCTTGGGTTCCCTCCAACAAGGAATGAGAGTTTCTGTAGGTCCACAGTCTCCACAGCACTTGGTGTCAGTCTTGTTAACTTTAGCCACGCTGGTAGTATGGGGTGCTGGGTGGGGGGGTGCCGTTTCATTGTGGCTTTCATTTCATTTGTGCTTTCCTAATGACTAAGGACGTGGAGCACCTTGTCATAGGTCTCCCAGCTGTTAGACTTTTCTCTTTTGTGAAATGTCTTTACAGAGGTCCCCCCTTATCCTTGGGAGAAGTGTTCCAAGACCCTCAGATGTCTTAGATGCCTGAAAGTGTGGATAGTTCCAAATCCCGAATACACTACGTATATATACACTATATTTTGTCCTGTACATGCACACCTGTGATAAAACTTAGTTTATGAATTAGGCACAGTAATATTAACCATAATAACCAATAATCAAATAAAACAATTATAACAATATTATTAAGTAAAGTAAGGGTTCCTTGAGCTCTGGCACTGCTATACCACGACAGCTGATCAGATAACGCAGCTGGCTGAGTGACTAATGGCAGGCGACATGGTAGATGGCACAGAGATGCTGCACAAAGGGATGATCCACATCCTGTGTGGGATGGAGCAGGGTAGTGAGAAATTTTGGTATGATACTTAGAATTGTGGCAACTTAAAACTTATGAATTGTTTATTTCTGGAGTTTTTCATTTAATGTTTTCAGAGCACAGCTGACTTTGGGTAACTGAAACTGAGGAAAGTGAAACTGCAGATAAGGGGGGACCACCACTCACTTTTTATTGGGTTGTATTTTTGTTTCTGACTCTTTGCTCACTGTTTTATGGCGTTGTCTTTTTGTTTTGGAGCCAGCTGTAGGAGGTTTTTTAATATATATTATGGATGGATCCTTTGTGAGATTTGGGTAATGTGAATATCTTTTCCCACTCTGTGGTTTGTCTTTTCACTGTATTAATGGTGTTTTGAGGGACAGAATTTCTTAATTTTACTGTAATCCAATATAAGTCTTTACATCATGTTGATACACATTCCTTCTTGGTGACATGTGTTGCAAATGTCTTCTCCCAGTGTGTAGTTTGCCTTGAAGGTTTCTTTTGACACCACTTGCTTTTGCATTGACTTCAAAACAGATTGTGAAGCACATGCCAGGCACAGTGCTAGGCACAGGAGGTGTGTAGTGAACACGAGACATGTGCAGGCTAAAAGGAGACGAGAGAGGGATGATGCAACATGGCTTCTCCAGGCAATATGGGTGGTCATGGGGAAAACCCTTAGGACTGTGGGCATACAGAGTAGGATCCCCAACCCAGTGTAGGTGGAATATGGATGGCTTCCTGGAAGTGGAGACATCTCAGCTGAGCCCTGAAGGATAAAAAGAGTTCAGGCAGGCAAAGCGGGGAAGAAGGATCCAGGCAGAAAGAATCACTCATGTAAATGGCAGAATGCCCTTCCTCCATCTCCCTGCCTATTCCAGCCCTCTGCAGGCAGCCCCAGGGTGGCCCAGGGTTGCTGCACTGGTCCAGAGTATGACTTGGGAATTTGGTTCCCACATCTGCTACAAACAGAGCCAAGCTTGGGTGTCCTGAGGAGGACTGTCCACAGTCCCCCAAGCTCTGTGCCTCCTGCAGCCAGCCTTCAGGTGTAGGAGGAGGGCCTAGGTTCTAGCCCCAGAGACCCAGCCCTTACGCTGTGCCTGGTCCCAGACTCAGTGGGGAGAGAGCCAAGGATGCACACCCGCCCTGTCAGAGCACGCAGAGCACCTGCACAGAGCTGTCTGAGCACATGTGAGATGAAATGGGCCATGTGAACACATTCAAGGAGGAAACAAAGCAGGAAGATGGAACTAGAGAAAGACAGAGGGAAGGAAGAAACAGATAAATGAAGAACCCAACCTGGACTCACAGTTATATAGGACAATGTTCTGCGGAGGTGCATGCTGAAGTGTTTAGTGGTGAAGTATCATGATTCTAATAACTTATTCTTTAGCAAAAAAGTATGTAAATAAGTATTTAATTGAATGTTCATGGTAGCAGGCTGAAACATGATATTGCTGATTTTGTAGGTTGAAATGGCTGCATATTGACAATGTGCTATGCATCAACTTAAAGCTCCTTTTCAATTTCTATCTCTGAAAATCTTTGGAATAGGATGTTAGAAAAGAAAGAATCCCACCTCAAAAAATGAAACCTCAAAGAACATAATGAAATTTCCTCATCATTGTTTCCCACTCTAGAGCAACTTAATAAGAACTCCAATTGAAGAGCTCAAAAATTAGAAGATTAAAAATACAATCAAGATGAGATGTAAAAGGAGAGTGGAGACCTAAGGAAAGAATTGAGAATCAAAGCAGTATTATCAAGGAGCTAATAAATAAATCAGGAACAGTGAGGAATAGACTATATACAGCGGAAATTGAAAAAAAAGTCAGGAAAGACTTAACCACCCCGGATGTGGATGAAAGAGGGAGCTGGTTGATGAAAGCCAGTAAAGGAAACCACATGGTACAGAGGGAAACACGATGACCACGTGAGCACAAGCCGTGCTCCTGAAGCCGGGAGGCTGACAGTCACACAG